TTAACCGGTCTTTTTACGTTAGGGTGGATGAGGAGAGATCTAGGCAAGCAGGCGCCTCCAGCGGGGTGCCACAGGGTTCAGTTCTGGGACCACTTCTGTTCCTGATCTATGTCAACGACGTGGCTGGCGATCTTGCATCTCCGGCGTTCATCTTGGCAGATGATCTCAAACTAGTGGGTACGCCGGAGGGCAACGAAATGCAGGAGGACCTAAATAGGATATACAAATGGGCGACTGAATGGAAGCTCGCAATAAAGCCAAATAAGTGCTGTCACTTAAAGAATGCACGGATTTGGTTGAATGGCTACTTGAATCCTGAGAAGGAAGAAGTAAGGATGTTAACCGGTATACATTAAGATATGCACAAGACTGCATGCATGTATGGATGGTATAGATGTGTATGTGTGTGTCGAGTATGATTAAATGTGTTCGTGGCTGTACGTACAAACACGTTGGGTGGTATAAAGGTGACACGTAATTACGGGCGCGGGCAATCAAGGGCAGGCTAAGGGACTCTAGTCTGTCTTCTTTCGTTTTGGTACCATAAGAGGCCAATGTATCATGTAAGATTGTCTGGTTTTCCTTATGCATGCACGGCCGAAATCAGACAGATCCGAAGTGTGAACGCAGGATGGTGACTAACCGTCATTGGGGTGAGTGGGTGAGATGCGACAGCTTTTTAGAAACTGATTTATGCGATCGATACACCTCGGAGAAATGCTGATACCTCCTAAAGTATTTACTCTCTTTCTTAACTTTAGTATCTTACCATTGTCTCTGCCTCACTAGGTTAACCATAATTGCGACTCACGCAGTTAGAGACTTGACTCCACACTGGGCCGTTTTTCCCAAATTATGAATAAACATTTCTAAATTCCAGCATTAAATATCGGTGACCGGGAAGAATCGTATCCGCATCCAGCCACTGCAAATAAGCTGGGTCAAAGGAACGCTTGGCAGTCGAAGCACACGAGAACACGGAGCTCGGGGTGCAAGAACCTGGACACGTATTGGTTCGAGCCACAAGTCCTGTGACCTGACCTGAGAACCCCAGGTTAATCCCTTAAGTAGAAGAAGTGAAGGACATAGGAGTCCTAGTTGCCCAGCACTTCAGGCCACCCGAGGAATTGCGGCCACCAAGGCCAACCGAGCACTGTACCAATTGCTGCGTACAGTTGCTTCAAGGGAGGTCAGCGTAATAGTGCCTTTGTACAAGGCATTTGTGAGACCGCACCTGGAGTATTGCATCCAGGCATGGGCGCCGTCGTTGGTTCGGGACAGCCAGTTACTAGAGGATATACAGCGCCGTTTTACGAAACTCGTCATGGGTCTTAGAAACCTGAGCTATGGCGAGAGGCTTCGGAGGCTGAAGCTGTTCTCCCTCAAAAGAAGCAAGATGGAAGGGGATCTAGTGGAGACCTTTAAACTAATAAAGGGACTCACGACAACGAATAAACCTCTCTTTAGCCTTAGAGGGAATCCAGTACTGAGAAAGCACGCATGGAAGCTTGACAAAACCAGAGAGTACGACGACCAGAGCACAATTGTCCTCATGCCGGGTGATTCACGCCTGGAACAAGCTACCTAAGTGTGCTGTAGCGGCAAATTCAGTTGCCATCTTCAAGCTCCGACTCAACCAGTGTTGGGAGGAAGTGTTCCCGGAGGACCTCCATCTTTAGGAGTGCCCTCAGTCTACATATCTCATTTTTTGTTCCCTTTCGTCCTGTATTACTCCACCTAATCATAAATCCTAACATTTTAAAAGTATTCTACTTTCGATTTTATACTGGAGCATTCCCTACTATTTTGACCTGCCCGAGACCCCGCTGGACGGATCGACCACGAGGTGCGACGTCGGATAAGCGGCTAGAACCTGCACAACTCCGAATGATTGGTCCTCCTGTCAGAGTACACGGACTGCCAACTTTACTCTTTCGCAGACAAAGAACGATAACGAACACATACGAAACGGAGTCGAAGCACCGAGAGTAGACGGTTGTAGCTAATCAGTGCAAAAAACTAGACGGTACTTCGCATCAGCCGTACGTCTTGGAACCCGACCTGACCTGCTTTGAGGATAAGGATCAGAATGCAGAAACTACCTGCCCCTGCCAAATTTCGGCGTCAGTGGAGCAAGATAGACACTGAAGACCTGCAGCGTAGAGCGCGCCGGGTATACTGGTTGGCTGAGAGCCCTGATGAAAGCGCACAAGATCAGTGGGAGCGTATAAAGGGCAATATGCTGGAGCTAACCAACCAGGCAGCACCCGAAAAACAGTTAAGACGCCGTGGAAAATTGCCATGGTGGGGGGCGCGCGTCGAGAAAGCAATGCGGCGCAAGAAGGAGGCGTGGCAGCACTATCGAGGCTCGGGAAGCTTTNTTCGCGCCCACCTAAGGTATAAGGTAGCCAGGCGCGAGGCCACTAAAGTCCAAAATGAGTGCCGGAAAAGGTATGAGGAACGCTTGGCTGCAAACGCCAAACAAAACCCTAAGGCGTATTACAACTATGTACAGCCCAAGAGTACTCTTAGGAAGGAAGTGGGCACCATTGATGATGCGAAGGGAAATCAAACTTGGACGAGCCAAGAGAAGGCGGAAGCCCTCCTCGACTACTTCTAGAGGGTCTACAGGTCAGACAACGGTAGGCTAGAGCCCGCTATCGGAAACCACGAGGGAACCCCCATGATGGAAGTGGTCATCTCCGCAGATGAAGTGCATTGAGTCGTAAGGGAGCTCATTCCAACTAAGGCAGCAGGGCCAGATGGCATTCATCCCGCTATCCTGAGACCACTGGCTGATCAGTTGGCTGAGCCCCTTGCCAAACTTTTCAATGCCTCAATCGCGCAGAATGAACTACCACGGACTGGTTTTTGGCGACAGTACACCAGGGGGGAGAACGCAAAACGTGCTCCAACTATCGTCCAGTCAGTCTGACATCGGTAGTACTGAAAGTCATGGAGAGAGTACTGCGTGCCAGGATTGCTGAACACGTGGTAACCATAGGTGCACTGACAGCAGATCAACATGGCTTCAGAACGGAGGAAGTCGTGTCTGTCAAACCTCTGCTTTCTTGATGAAGTGACTAAGAGGACTGATAAGGGAAGGAAGTTGAAGTGTGCTACTTAGACTTCCAGAAAGCGTTCGACTCCGTCAATCATAGACTACTGATGACGTAGTTGAAGGTTTTCGGGCTGCCCCAGGAACTGCTACAATGGATACGTAGCTGCTTGACAGGTCGGAGGTTTGTTGTGAAGGTAGACAACAGCACATCAAGCCAGGGACAAGTGCTTAGTGGAGTGCCACAGGGCTCTGTCCTAGGTCCACTGCTTTTTCTGCTCTATATCAACGACCTCAGCACCGACATGGAAAACCTCTGTTACAAGTTTGCAGACGATGTTAAAATCGTCGGGGAGGTTGCGGCGGAGTCGGTTCAGAGGGACCTTGACAAGATACATGAGTGGTCAGTTAAATGGGACTGGCCTTTAAATACCCTGAAGTGTCGACAGCTAGTCAAACCTGGAGACATGCAGAGTGGCAGGACACTGGGACCCCCGGACCAGGCCAAACAGATATCCATGGTAACCACAGCCAGGGACTTGGGCGTCCTAGTTAGTGCGGACTTGAAGCCTGGACTCCAGTGCCGCGAGGCAGCACGAAGGGCATCCAGAGCCTTACACCAACTGAGACGTGCGGTAAGCTCTAGGAAACCCGAAGTCTT